AATGAATTGGAAATGGGACCCTGTCTCACATCACACACAAATGTCAATTCAAGGTTGATTAAAGGCCTGGATGTGCAAGGCAAAGTCAGGCTTTTAGAAGAAAATATAGGAGAATGTCTTGTGTAGGGAAGGGGTTCTTTAAAAGATACGAAGGAAATTATTTGATAAATACAGCCGATTAAGAACTTTTCATCAAGCACATCTTAAAGGAAGTGAACAAACACAAACTAGGAAAGAACTTAATAACATGTATAACTAATAAAGGATTCATATTTAGAATATATATGTATTCTGTATGTTTGTGTATCCTCCAACTCAGTAAGAAAAACTGGTATATAAAAAATTGCAGAAACATTTGAACAAGCACTTTAAGAGGAAACTCAAATGGTTAATAAGTGTGAAAAACTGCTTTATCTCATTAATCAGGGAAATAGAGAATTACTTGCCAGATTTTAAATCTAATAATATTGAGTGTTGGGAGAATGTGGAACAATGGGACCTTTCCAAAAACCCCTGGAAACATTTTGGAAAATAATTCAGCATCAAGTAGAGCTGAGCTAATATCCCCTAGAGCCCTGTACGTTTTTAGAGTATACCTTAGAGACACTCATGGCACACCAGGAGACAAGTGCAAGAATGCTCACGTTAGCATTGCTTACAACGGCAGAAACTGGAAGCAACCCAAATGTCCCGTAGCAGCAGAATGGATAGATAAATCAGTGGTGGTGTCTCAAACATTACAGTACTCACTCTTAGGGGTGGTATAAACGAAAGAAATATAGTCATGTGCACCCACAGGAATAAAATATCTCAAAGTATCTTTTGGGTAAAAGAAGCAAGTCATAGTTCAAAACCACAAAACTAACCAAAATGTTGCTTAGAAATCATAGAAAAATGGTAAGAAAAGATGGGAATGATTAACATAAAAACCAAGATAGTTGGGAGGGTTGGAGGAGGCAAAGAATAAGCTATGATCAGTAGGACATACAGGAAACTTCTTAGTTTTCTGTTTCTTAACCTGGGAAATAGATGCATGGGTATTTGTTTTATTATGCTTTATACTATATATATACAGTATATATATATATATATATATATATATTTCATATACTTTTCTGCTCGTAAGACATAGTTAATGACAAAGTCATCTTTTTTAAAAAAAAACATCTTACATATGAAATAAGAGGAGTAATTGAGGAAAGAGGCAAGGCAGGAGACTTCAAGCAAAGAAACTTGGTTATAACAGGCAGTAATAAACAGTTTACTTCTTGGAGCTTAATTTAAAAGGTTTAAAGTGTACTGATTTTATTTTCCTTTTAGAAAGTCTTTTGTAAGTGTACAGGAAGCAGGTGGTTAATATTGGAGGAATTGGTCTTGGTTTTTTTTTTTTTTAATTCTTAATGCCAGCTTTCCTCACCAGCTGAGCGTGTATCATATATCAAGCCAGGTCTTGTGGGCAGTAGTTCTACCCAATCCACTTTAGGAGCTGGTGCCTTCATTGGCTTTTAACCTGATTATTGGTCTTACGGGATTTTCATCCTTAACTCACTTGTTTGCATGCTTTGGCTTGACTTTGACTGATTGCAGGAAGAAAGACACAGACTGATAGATACATTTCCAGACCTTCGCTGGAAAAATCAGTAACCTCTTCCTTTCTTCATGTGCTTTAGCTCAGGTTCAAATTGAAGGAGATTTCCTGGCGTGTTCCTTCTCTATACTTGAGGAACAGCCCATGGACATGCTTTTGGGACTGGACATGCTGAAACGGCATCAGGTAATTAAGAGCTTCACTTTCTTTTTGCGTTGGCTTTTTGTGTGTTAAATGGTTATTCCATCATGGTTGTATATACTGGAAAATTAAGAAGCATGACTTCAAACCTGGAAAGGTCCTTAATTGGTGATGTTGTCATACAAGGTTTGAAATTCTGTATCAGTAGAAATAGAACCTTTTTGTGAAATCTTTCTGAATCTGTTGAATCTTGCCATCTGTTTTGAGACTATACTGGACAATTTGGTTCCCTTGTGTAATTTTTAGTTTCTGATTAGAACTCAAGTCATTTTTTTAAAACATTTTTTTAAAAATATTTATTTATTTGGCTGCTCTGGGTCTTAGCTGTGGCATGCGGGATCTTCGCTGCCAAGTGCGGGATCTTTTGATTGTGGCATGCGGGATCTGGTTCCCAGATCAGGGCTTGAACGCAGGCCTCCTGCATTGGGAGTGCAGAGTCTTAACCACTGGACCACCAGGGAAGTGCCTCAAGTAATTTTTTGATGGGTTTGTAGGGAGATGTACATAATACACAATGATGATTTTACTGCTAGCCTAAGTTTAGTAAATCCTTAGTAGCTGGTCAGACAATACTTGGGGAGAAGAGCTTCGAGATTAAGGAAGAAGTTGTACATAAGATGTTGGGAATGGAAATGTTTATTTAGTACAGGGAGAATGATTTATAAATATTTTCATTTGCAGTGATTTTTATATTTCCATTCCGAAGCTTAATAATTTGTTTAAAGATAAACTTCACTCATTGAAGAAGCAATTATTGTGCTCTTGGTTAGTAAAAATTTTCCCAACAAGGTTTCATATCTAGTCAACATTTTTATGTCACTAATATTCTTTTTTTTCTTTCTTAAATTGGAGTATAGTTGATTTACAATGTTGTGTTAGTTTCAGCTGTCTACTCTTTTTTAGATTCTCTTCCCATGTAGGTCATTACAGAGTATTGATTAGAAATCCCTGTGCTGTACAGTAGGTTCTTATTAGTTATCTATCTTATCGATATATATAGGTCATTACAGAGTATTGAATAGAAATCCCTGTGCTATACAGGTTCTTATTAGTTATCTATCTTATCAATATATATAGGTCATTACAGAGTATTGAATAGAATTTCCTGTGCTATACAGTAGGTTCTTATTAGTTATCTATCTTATCGATATATATATATAGTAGTGTGTATATGTCAATCCCAATCTCCCAATTTATCCCTCCCACCCTTTTCCCCTTGGAAACCATGAGTTTGTTTTCCCCTTGGAAACCATGAGTTTGTTTTCTACATCTGTGACTCAGTTTCTGTTTTATAAATAGGTTCATTTGTATCATTTTTTTTAGATTCCACATATACGCAGTATCATATATTTGTTTTTCTCTGACTTACTTCACTCAGTATGACAATCCCTAGGTCCATCCACATCACTGAAAATGGCAGCATTTCGTTCTTTTTTATGGCTGAGTAATATAAAACTATGGAACACTTCACGAATTTGCGTTTCATCCTTGCGCAGGGGCCATGCTAATCTCTGCGTCGTCCCAGTTTTAGTATATGTGCTGCCTAAGCAAGCACACTAATACTCTTTCTTAAATGTTTAGTGTTAAATTCCCATTGAAATATATTGATATTCCAATCAAGGTGCACAGTTTTAAGTAGAAGGAATGAGCGAATGCACATATAAATGAAACCTGATTTATTAGCTTGTTGCTAATCTTTCCCTATTTATTTATTTATCGCTATTTTTAAGTCATGGTATAGACTAGCAGTCTCCAGCTTTACGAATTCAAAATATATGTGTGTAACTGTCCTATATTAAGTAATTATAAAAATATACTGATGGGCTTCCCTGGTGGCGCAGTGGTTGAGAGTCCGCCTGCCGATGCAGGGGACGCGGGTTCGTGCCCCGGTCTGGGAAGATCCCACATGCTGTGGAGCGGCTGGGCCCGTGAGCCATGGCCGCTGAGCCTGCGTGTCCGGAGCCTGTGCTCCGCAACAGGAGAGGCCACAACAGTGAGAGGCCCGCGTACCGCAAAAAAAATAAAAAATAAAAATAAATAAATAAATAAATATATATATGTGTGTATATATATATATACACATATATATATACTGAAAAAGAGGATCGCATAAGTATGAAATACAGAATACTTTTGTAGAGCTCGTCTTGTCCATATATCACTTTTGAGACCATTGGCATAGACTTTAAATATAAGCTGTACTTTATCCACTAAGCAAGAAGCAAAAATGTAGACCTACATAAATGGTATGTCTCAGTTTTAGTTTTTAAAAAGTCACTGATACGTTTCTAAAAGGCGTGGCTGCTGATTATGGCGTGTGCAGTTTTCCATGATTATGGCGTGCAGTTTTCCAAATTTTGTACAATGAATATGTATCACATTTGAATTCAGACATGAACAATTGCTGTGTTTGACAAAGAAGTGTAAACTGTATCCCATAAAGATCATTCTGCTGTACAGTTTAAATATTAAAAAAGATTCTGGGGCTTCCCTGGTGGCGCAGTGGTTAAGAATCCGCCTGCCAATTCAGGGGACACGGGTTTGAGCCCTGATCTGGGAAGATCCCACATGCCGTGCAGTAACTAAGCCCATGCGCCACAGCTACTGAGCCTGCTCTCTAAAGCCCTCGCACCACAACTACTGAGCCCACGTGCGACAACTACTGGAGCCCATGCTCCGCAACAAGAGAAGCCACTGCAATGAGAAGCCTACGCACCACAGCGAAGAGTAGCCCCTGCTTGCCGCAACTAGAGAAAGTCAGTGCGCAGCAACGAAGACCTAACGCAGCCAAAAACAAATAAATAAATTGAATAGATATTTTAAATATATATATAGATATAGATTCTAAACTAACAATGTTACATAGCTTAAAGTTTAAATACTTTAGATAAAATTGGTTTTTTGAGCCATCTCTGTCAGTGTTGCTCTTTGTGAATGGAGTTTTAAATTCAAGATCATAATGTTCCTGCATCGTGTTCTATCTGCTATCATCAGTGTTTGGTTTCTTTTTCTAAGTGTTCCATTGACCTCAAGAAAAATGTACTCGTGATCGGCACCACAGGCTCAAAGACCACCTTCCTTCCTGAGGGGGAGTTACCAGAGTGTGCCCGGTTGGCATATGGGGCCGGGCGAGAGGAAGTACGGCCAGAGGAGATTGCAGACCAAGAATTAGCAGAAGCCCTTCAAAAATCTGTAGAGGATGCAGGTATTTGGAGTGGCCAGGCTCTTAAATAATACTCGTTATTGGTGGGTGAGCCAGGGAAGTTGGAGCTTCAAAGGGGAATAGGGACCTTTCCAGTCGTAATCAGTCTCATCGTCCTGTTGTAGGTATGTTCCTTGTCTTCTTACTGCCTCTTCCCATCTCTAAATACAGTACAGAAAACCTCCCGTGTTTCAGTAGATCCAGAAATAGCAGTCCATTGCTATGTGCAAGATAGAGTGGGGAGTTCTTTGCTTAGGCACATTTTGGTGGGATTCCTAAAGAATCTTGTCTTTTTTTTTTTTTCTTGAAGAAAATTGTAACAGTAAGCAGAAACTTCCTTTTGAGTTCAACATTTCCTGGAAATTTTCTTGTTTTCTTAGGCCCATTTATTTTGGAGGATGACGTTGTGTCTGTGACTAAGCAGCACTAAGCTTTTTAATATCTACTGAAAGTGCTGCCACCGAAATGAAGCTACGTAATACTTTTTTTCCCTAAGTCTCAGTTGTTGTAGCTTCTTTAATTCTAAAGATCAAACCAAGTTTTCTGGGTAAAATGGAGGGACACAGTTATGCCGAAATCCCACTTCTGTGGATAAATTTTCCCCGTCTGTTACAGAACAGTGACTCTGGAATATATTTTCTAGAAGCTAAAGAGAATTAACTTTTAAGTTTGAGTTATTTTAAAGTCTTGAGCTGTAATTCTTCATTAGTGACTAATATCACACATTGCATTTGCTGATATAGTAAAATGTATTAGAGCTACAAGTTCAGGGAATAGCTTTCTCCTAAGGACAAAAAAGATAAGAGCTTTAACAATGAGCAGCCAGATTTTGCCAGCGTGTATCACCAGAGAACATCCGGTGGTCTCGCCTTGAGATTCTCTAGAATGAGCGTGAGTAGCAGATGGAGTTTCCAAGCTGGCTTTGTTCAGAATCTGCGCCACCACCACCTTTTGGCTCAGTTTTACATATGAAGTACAGTTTGGGTTGTGATTTAAGTATTTGGTAGGAAGGGGAGAATTTTGAACAACCAGACAGAGAAAGACTAAATTAATAGTTTTAACCTTACCCGCAAGGCAAGCTTGAATGAGTTTGACATATCTACTTAGAAGGTTTTACTTTTTGTTTTGTTTTGTTTGGTAACTTGTCAGCTTAGTCATAATACTGTACATTAATAAAATGAGGGTATGTTATCATTTTGTGAAACCTCTGTTGTTCCCCCCACAGTTCTGGTGCTTTTACTTGAGAAACACTAGCTGATGGTAGCAGTGCTTTATAACCTACTGACAGTTACCCTCTTTGAGTAATTACTTTCTTTTAATAAAAAGTTGAAGAGATTAAAATAGAAACCACAGATGTTTTCAGCCATAGTGAAGGAGGTGTACCAGTTTTAAAGGATTAAAAGGAAGTGGCTCTTTACCCATGTGACCTTTTGTTACTGACAGTGTATGTATGGCTTGCGCTAATTTTTGTAATGTTTAGTGAGGTAATTCTTCAACATCAGATTCTATTTGTTTGGAACATCAGCTTCCCACTATTATCAAAATCACCTACCCCTAGACATAGTAGGTGAATGTATTTTTGCTAAAAACTGTCTCTTTGGTGGATACTCTATAGCAGAATGTCGTTATCTTCTCTATTGATTAAAAAATAATTCAAAAAAGTAATAATTCAGAGTATTTTAAAAAATAAGGTAAGCCAGGATAAGTAATCACGTTTGGTTTGTTTTTCTTCTAAAAATAAATCTCAACTGAAAAAGAAACTGTGAAAGTTTCTGTAATATGTGTTTGCTCACCTTGACTCCATAAGATTTCCATATCGTGTAATTCTGTCTATGGATCTACTTTTTTTTCACCTATTTCACATGTTTGCCCATGAATTCTCTGTGTAGGTGTGTAAAATTAATTTCTTTCCAAGTTCTGTTGAAAATCTGTTGAAGTTGACACATTGCTTTATGTATTGTGAGAGAATTAAAGCAACCAGCAAATCTTTTTGATGTCCAAACTACAGGAACGTTCCCCCACTTTGACTCTACCAGTTCCTGATCTTAAAGATGGCAAAGGAGTGGAGACTATAACCCTGCATGCTGTGTGGTTTGCATTGTTAACCCAAGGTTTGCTTGTCTGTTTCCTAATTCAAACAGAGCGTCAGAAGCCATGATGCATGTAGTGTGTGTGTACTGCAGCTGGAGTGGGCCCCAGACCAGGTATTTATAGACACCACGTTAAGCCTTCCACCCAGTCATCGTCTGTGGTCTGAAAGACTTCGTATCCTCAGCAGTTCTAGAATTTAGCTTCTGTCATTCACCATTTCACCTTGTTTAATCTGGTTACAACTAGCCTGTATGTGTATTTGTATGCTGGCATACATACATATCTAAGCATGGTTTCCTATTTAAAATTTTATCAGTCATTAGAACAGTTCGAGGGGGAAAAAGATCCCAGCGAAAACAAATGACCACTGTGAATATGAAATCAAGAATATGAGCGTCACAGCACTTTGTTGGTGGAGATGACTGTGTCGTTAGGGATTTTGTAAGTCCCTTTCTTCTGAAAAACGGAAAGTGTATTTTTCACATTACTGCACACAACTACCAGCATTATAGAGGGGCTGAAATTTTCATTCTGTTGAAGAAGAAATGGAAACAGGCCAGGTGACTTGGCCAGTGTCACAGAGTCAATAACATATGCAGGACTGAAGTTTAATCTTCCAACAAGAGCTGAAACTTTGCTTTTCCCTGTCTCCCTAGCCTGACAGTTTTCCACAGGAGGCTCTCTGCTTCCATCTCCCTGTATGCAGATATGATGAATGTCAGCCTGAGTGCACTGACTGGTCTGTTAAAAGAAGGAAAAGTGGTCTTTTTAGACTCTACCAACCTAGGACTTTATAGGGGTTTGCAGGCTGGTTGTAATTAGATATATAGCATTTAATTGCTTCTTTCTTTCATTTTCCTTGTAAGGATGGGTTAAAAGCAGCCATCTTTAATTATTAATGTCCGTTGACCTCATCCTCTTCTCCTGTCCTATAGTACTGACCCAGTCCTCCCCTACATTTAGGACTTAGGCCAGTGAAACTGACCATCTCAGCTACAGGAGGACTATATGCTGCTTTCCTAGTGAGTACGGAGTACTTTGAGGTCATGTTCACCTTCAGCTCCCCCAGCTGTTATAACTGACATACCATTGCCAGAAGGCCATTACCTTTGCCCACCTCTGTGCTGCTGATAACATGGATATTTGACTACAGTGCATCTTTGTGTTCTCATTAACTCGAAATTGAACCTCTTTCAGAGACAGCCTTAGAGATTGATAAATAAAACTGATAACTGTGTTTCTAGACTCTAGTGAATATAGTTTGCACTGAGATACACGCTGTTTTCCTGTTTATCCCTAAACTATAAGATTATTTCACAAGAAGTCAGTAACTTCCTGACATAGTGCTTTATCTTTTCAAGCTGTTAACCTGTGTTGGATTAGAATGATTTAGAGCCTTTTGAATCATAACTGCATTGCTTCATGACTTCTTAAGGTACAGTCAACATGAAGCAGTTGAGTTGCATCTGTCCTAATAGTTTGTATTGTGATGTCATTTTTGTTACCAGCCTTTGACTTTTAATTAAAGATCTTGTAATAATTGCATAGAGGTCAATTTTTAATTGGATTAGTGGCAAAAGGAGAGGTGGAACTGATGTTTAATGACATCATGATGTTTGCATTGAGGTGTGGTATTTAATCCTTCCATTTTTTATGAGTGGTCAGTAAGTTGCAGTGGATCTAAATTGTTATTGCTTATTGGAAAATTTATGAACTATATCCCTCCACTGCCCTCCCCTGCCCACATTTCCCTGCCCTTAAAGTACTTAAATATTCTCACTTAGTTGTTGCTGTGATAAAGTAACTGATAATCCTTTTTAAAGTTGCATTATTTGGTAAGATAATAATTGGGATTTAATCTGTTTGATCTTTAGCGCTTTTTTTTGTTCTGAGTCAAGCTCATATAGTTTTGGGAATGTTTGGATAGAAATAAATAGAATGTTTGCTTCTCTGTCTTCTGAAGGTCCCTGAGTAGTATCACATTCTTATTTCTCTTTATAATTCCTGCTCTGTCTCAGATATACCTGGTTTAGACTTCTCAGTGTTCACGTTTGACACTCTGAAAGAGAATTGGCATGAGAATCATTCTAGTACTGAAATCCTCAAGATTGTATTGTGCTTTTAAGAATCACCTGAGGAACTTACTGAAAATACAAATTCCTGGGTTTATCCCAAGGATGGTATCCAGAATCTGCATGCTTAGGAAACATCCCAGGTGATTTTAGGGCAAGTGATAGAGAAAACACACTTGGAGAAACTATTCTAGAGTTCTGAACCCACTGAGAATAAAGATACGTAAATGTCCTTCAGTCTTGAGCACTAACTCAGCCCTTATGTGGTACTTAAATAAAAATATTGAATTACAGTACACATATTTTGTTAAGAACATGCCTACCTCTTATCCTGATGCTATGATGTTAAATTGTCCACCACGATGAGAATGGTTCTTGTATAAAGTCTATAAATATGAGACAAACCCCAGTTTAAGGACCTGATTTTGTTCTGTCCTGTTTAGATTTGTGTTCTCTGATAATTTAGTGGACTTTGTAACCTGCTAATTACTCTTTTTTCCTTTGACTGTTGTTCTATGTAGAGAAAAGCGGTAAAGAAACTACCTCACTGGGAATGTCATCATTACCAACTTCAGATGGATTTAACCATCAAGCCCATCCTTCAGGACAGAGTCCTGAGATTGGTAATCCTTCACGTCTTGCTCACTCTGTCTCTGCTTCAGTCTGCCCTGTTGAGCCCAGCGACCCAGACAGCATTGAACCTAAAGCTCTGAAGGCTTTGAAGGCTTCAGCTGAATTCCAGGTAACCTGTGAAAAGAAAGAACATCTTCCTCTACAGGATCTTTCTGATTATGCTTCTTCAGCAGACAGTGCTCCAGCAGACCAGAGGCCAGCTATGCCTTTGCAGAATTCACTCGAAGAAGCCATTGTTGCAGGTAATCTAGAGAAATCTGCTGAAAGAAGCACCCAGGGCCTCACATCTCATCTCCACACCAGACAGGAAGTTAGTTTATCTGTCACTGGGATGGAAGAACCACAGAGGCTTAAAGATGAAAAGGGTTGGCATCCAGAATATCAGGACCTGAGTCAAGCGAGTGGCCTTCAGCAGCATGAAGAACCGAGGACTGGACAGCATGAGGTTATACAGCAGAATGCTCCCCATGACCGAGCACGTCTCTGTAACACAGGGGACCTTGAACTTCTTGGAGAAAGGCAACAGGATCAACAAAGAAGTATTGGTTCGGAAGCTACGATGGAAGGAGACAGGCTAGAGCAGACTGTGGACCTTTCGGGTACAGAGAAAAATATTCTACCTTCAGGGTGCTTTGGCTGCTCAAGTTCAGAAACACTTATGGAAGTAGATATAGTTGAACAGTCCCTAGCTGCTGTGCTCAATTCAGCAGGTGGTCAGAATACCAGTGTCAAGAATATCAGTGCATCTGATCTCACCTTAGATAATCCCTTGATGGAAGTAGAAACATCAAAATGTAACCCTTCCTCTGAAATTTTGAGTAATTCCATTTCCACTCAGGATTTACAGCTTCCAGAAAGTAATGTTGAAATGTCTGGAACAAGTAAAGAATACGGGAGTTGCCCCTCCTCTTTAGTAAGTCTCTGTGGCAGTTGTCAGCCATCTATAGAGTCCACAGAGGAATCTTGCTCATCTGTAACGGCAGCCTTGAAGGAACTTCATGAACTTTTGGTCATTAGTACTAAACCAGCTTCAGAAAACACATCGGAAGAAGTTATCTGTCAATCAGAGACAGTAACTGAGGGCCAAACAGGTATTAAGGACCTTTCTGAGAGATGGACCCAAAATGAGCATGTTACAGCTACCCAGAGTGAACACTGTTCACAGGTCTCCTTTCATCAGGCCACATCTGTAACAGTGAAGACAGAAGAATTAGCATCCACTTCAACTGACGCTGGAGTAGAAGATGAAGAAAATATTAACTTCAGGGGTCCAGGTGATGGCGTATTAACTGATAGGGAAGGTGTCCCCAAGTCTAAGGAGTCAGTAAATGAGAGCAGTTCTGTCACTGTAGCCTCAGCTGAAACGTCCAATCAACTACATTGCACCTTTGGCGCAGAAATTTCACCCAGACTTCTAGCAGGTGAGGAGGATGCACTCAATCAGACTTCTGAGCACACTGAGTCCTTGTCGTCCAGTTTCATATTGGTTAAAGATTTGGGCCAGGGCACACGGAATCCAGTGACAGACAGGCCTGAGACTAGAGAAAATGTCTGTTCTGAAGCTGCAGGGCCACTTCTAGAATTCGTACCACCTACCAGCCAGCCATCATCAAGTCCCTCCTTTCTTGCACCGTTAATTTTTCCTGCTGCGGACATTGACCGGATTCTCCGTGCCGGCTTTACTTTGCAGGAAGCTCTTGGGGCTTTGCATCGAGTTGGTGGAAATGCAGACCTTGCACTTCTTGTTTTGCTAGCAAAGAACATTGTAGTTCCTACATAACCATGGAAACGTGGGCTAGACCATACTCCATTCCCTTACAAAAAGCTATATATTTACACATACACACTCACCACATATACAGTATATGTAGAAACCTGCAAGCAGAATGTTGAGCCAGATTTTTTTTAAAGATTTTTTTCGGCCAAAGTAATTTATGGTCTCTTGTCTGATGAATTTGTCTATTCTATTTGTTGAAATTTGGGCCTTTTAAAATGTATTGGCAGTATGTGCATACAGGAGCTTTTTATTAACATTAAGATGATGTATTCTGGAATGAAATGGGTGGTTTTGTGTATAGCATACCATTTTAGAATGAGAGTGAATGCTTTAAAAAGCAGAAGCCGCGAGAAGTCCCACCACCCATGCAGCTAGCAACAGGTCGTCATCCGGCTGTGTCTGCTGCAGGCCAGGCGTGGCTTGTGGGCTCAGCGTTTGGTTTACAAACTTGATTACATGGTTTGGCGTTTGGAATCGTACTTAGTGCTTTAGGTATCATGACTCATCAGTTGTCACAGGAAATTGAAGAGTATCTCCTAGAGTGGCATGTTGTTATTCGTGTGGTTAGGACTTGACATTTTAATGGGATGAGTTGGGAGGGTTTAAAACTTGGGCTGCTTTGTACATCACAGGCTGCTGCATGGATTGCCAGATACCTTGGGTGGGATACTGTGAGGGAATTAACACTAGCGCGAACCATGGTGCTACCCAGATTTAAAAAAAAGAAAGAAAAAACTGTAATTCCATCTGCAAATGTCATGGTGATGTTTCAAGAACTGTGAGTGAAAAATAATGGCCTAAACACTGGAGTTAACTAGTGACTGGGTTTGGTAGCATTCACTGATCACAGCTCAACCCTTAGCGACTAATGATGAGCTTATGTTCAGCTAGTGGGTTGGTTGCCAGCAGTTTACTTCCTTTCCAAACTCATCTTCTTCTAGGAAGTTCTTCTAAAGCTCAGTTTGAGCTGTGATCTGAGTGAAATATTCAAGTGTGATAAATAACCTTGTCACTGGTTTATCTTGGTGCTTGGAATGGTCAGTGTATTTGGTGAGTGTCTTTCATGGCAGTGGAAATAGTAATTGGAGTTTCTGACTCAAGTGGCCTTGGTAGAGTTTTCCATCCTTTTCTTTCCTCAGGAGTTTCTTTTTTTAAGCAAGGTTTCGTCATATTTGTGTTTACACATGTCAAGTTAGAGTGGGGCATAGTATATAGATGTATTTATTGTGGCCTTTTTTTATATGAGGACTAGCCCTTGGAAATCACTGTCCTGTGGGCCCCACTGTGCAATAATTCTACTGGGTAGATTTTAGATACTTTTTTTCGTGGAAAATAAACCCTCTTAAGTACCTAGCAGGAATCTGAAATCTTGGTTTTATTGAAGAGAATTTTGAGAATGATAATTCCCTATTCCAGATTATAATTTGCAATGTGTTTGGAACAGAAGCTTCAAAAGGGTGATTTGTGAACTTTTAACTTTAAGTGATTTTTGTCTGAAGTCTTACTCTCTTTAAAAGCTTATTCTTTCTGTCAAAATTCACGTCATTGAGCACAATCAAAATGGAGGCTCATATCTCAGGAGTTTTAAAGTGTTTGATTTGGGGGCACTTAGACATTTCTTTTACCCTATTCCATGTTCTTTCTTTTAGCTGTGAGGTTCGTATGTGTGTTAGGAGCCTGAGTGATATGATGGAAAGTTGCATAGATTCCTCATGACCCTCTGAAGTTAGGGAATGGTTGACAGAAAGAGTTGTAGTTTACTGTGTTCAGAAGGGCGCTCAGAACAGGTTAGCCAGATTGTCTTTAAAGTGTTCTTTTAGACGATCATGTGCTGTAGATCCTTTTGCCTGCCCTACACCAAAGATGTAAGATGCACTAGGAACCTGCTTATAGGATTTCTGTCAACCGACTCTCAGAGCTGTGACTGTAATTAAGTAGTGGTGCTATGATTGAAGCAAAATTTAGTAGCAATGCAATGGGCCCCTGATTTGCGTTATGGGTATGCTTGGGAATTTATTCTAAGCTTATAAATCTTTAGGGTCACAAAGTGGGGTGAGTATAGGGTTACAAAGTGGGGTGAGTCTATGACAGTAGACTCCTCCAAAAAGGCCTTCTGTATGAAGATGGGCCTCAGAGGTTTTTTGTACTAGCAGTTCCTCTGACTACTGTTCAGAGGCTTGGCCACTGAATTTTCACAGTGTGGAGATTTGGGAGTCAGTCCCAGGTGGGATATAGAGTATCAATCTGGAAAAGGTTTCATTACGATAGCTTTTATTGTACGTATATGTATATTTATTTCTAGGAGAAAATTGGATAGGCCTATCGTTGTACATGTATTCTTATTAGGAATACTTTGAGCTTAACCCACTTGCCAAATATGCTTGTCCTTTTTCATCATTTATCTTTCAACTTATAATTGCTTTTGATTTTTTTTTTTTTTTTTTTTTTTTGCAGTATGCGGGCCTCTCACTGCTGTGGCCTCTCCCGTTGTGGAGCGCAGGCTCAGCGGCCATGGCTCACGGGCCCAGCCGCTCCGCGGCATGTGGGATCTTCCCGGACCGGGGCACGAACCCGTGTCCCCTGCATGGGCAGGCGGACTCTCAACCACTGCGCCACCAGGGAAGCCCTGCTTTTGATTTTTTAAATCTTCCTGTCCATCGTTTGTATGAAAGTAAAGTTGTTGACATTGTCAAGATTTTAAATCATTTTTAAATTTAGCAGTTGTAAAACACAAAAGGAATTCAGGAACATGACACTAGTGAACCTCCATTTTCAATTTTTATTCAAAGTGCAGAAATTAGAGATTAACTTCTCCAAGGATAGGATAAAATCATTGTGAACTCCTCTGGTTGCCAACAGAACTGATAATGGCCAGCCATAACCAGTAATGGGCTGCTTTACTGGATAGCTCCTTTGCCATAACCGGTAATGGACAGCCTTGTGGTCAGCACGTACCTCCAAGGGTGGTATCTGTTTATTCACCAAAGAGAGGAGAAGATTTACCTATATGACTTCTGCAGTTTCCCTTTAGTTGGTTCCTGTGTATAAGAATGTGCTTGGTAACCAGACAGCTATACCTAGGCTATAGATTTTGCCGTTGCAGCTGGTAAGAATTATTTCCACTCGTACCTCTTTAGGCATCCAGACATCAGCCAGTAGCCTTCATCCCACAGTTTGGGCTTTAGCTATTAACATATAAAGATTACCAGTTGCAAAGGGAACTACATAGATGGTGAGTGTGTATGAAAACTGTCCTGCCTTGCAGCCTACAGAACTTTCCAGAGCTCCTTGTCTCCATATATACTGAAGGGAGACACACACCTTGTATTTTTTCCCAGAGCATTTCTCCAGTAAGAGAGTTACATGGAAAGATATATGAGACTTTGTGTCACTGATTCTGTGATAACCAGCTAAGGTGGAATCTGCCTGTTTTTCCCTTAGCACAGCTTACTATCCCTAGTAAAAGCCATAAAAATTTCGTTGGTTTAACCATCAGTTCATGTGTATATATACATGTGTGATAGATATCCTACAGTTAATTTTACATAGATTAAAAAGCAAACAATTTTTATATCTACAGATGTAGTCTCCAGTTATGATGGTTTTTATGTATATAAAAAACAGCCTTGCAAGTAACTGGCCAGAAGAGTTGCAGTACATTCTGATTTCCTTTTCCTATCTCTTTGCCACCTGCAGAGAGTATAAGCAGGATAATTGAACTGCTGCATATTTCAAACTAGTTATCAGTGGTGACATATCACAAGAGAAGCTAACTGGCTTGTGCGTTCTCTAGCACAGATACCAAAAAGCCAAATATCTTCTTTGAATTTGGTGACTTAGTGTAGTCCACGGCTGAACTAGAAAGAGACAGAGTTCTCAAGAGTTCCCTTCCGAGAAGATGAATGTTAACTTAGTTCTGTAAGATAAAAATAGCTTTCTTTTTGAAAGATTTAAAAATGCCAATTCCTGTTAACAAAAAAGGAAATTCAAAGCATGTCCTTGAGAACCAGAAATGTAAAATCATGGCTCAAATTCTCTACCTTTGTGGTCCCTCGGTAGATGTTACTAGGAGTTCATGGAGTAAATCAAAGAACTTAGGGGAGGAACCTTTGATATGCTTGATTTTCTCTTGTGCCTTAGTTTCTCCAAATAGCAGAGGCATCAAATTTGGGTGGGGAATAAAAGTGGAAGGAGGGGGGCAGCAGGGAAGTCTGAAAATGGCTCTCCTGGAGATAGGCATGCGTGGAGTGGTCCTAAGGCTCACCTTTACTGTTGGTTGAGAATTATTCTGCACCAAATCGTTAGATTTCCCCAGGTAGAAGGATTATGACACGGCTTTTTTGTATCAGGTATACCCCCAAAAATGGTTTCTAAGCGTTTATTATGTTCTTTGTGGCACTGTCAGTATTGTGGTGAAGGCAGAGCAGAAGTTCAAGAAAATCTTATATTACAGGGAATGTTTAGTCTCTTGAAGGCTGTGCAGTTTGAATCTTTGAATAAGAGTTCATTATTCATTCAAACATTAAGTGCCTGTGTGCCAGGTACTGGGGAGCACTGGGGATACAGGAGTGACTAAAACAGACTGGAAGCTGCTCTTGTGAAGCCTTCAGTCTAGTAAAGAGACCTGAAACAAATTTTAGCTTCAAGTGCAACATCTATTTTTGCCTATTAGCATCATTTATTTTAAAAGTCATATTAAGATGATTTGGTTCAAATTCAGAGAAAACTGGGAAAATCAGGCTCAAAATGGAATTAGATGCTGTGAACCTAAAACTGCTCTAAAAAAAATATTTTTTAAAAAGTGGAATCGGAGAAACCAACAAAAAATGTTCTAACATTTGGTAGAAACACTTGAAGAGATCAAGGATTCAGAAATTAACGTATACTGTTGGTGGAGGGGGAATTAGGCAGGATAGAAGTGCAAGTGCAAGTAAATGGAAGATGACCTAATATGCACCAGTGACAGTCAACTTTTCCTTTCATCAGGACCTCCTTCCATGCAGGATAGAAATACGGAGTGTGCTGCGGCATCCTTCCCACTCCCCCTCTGAGCACGGCTGCTCTGGAATACTAACCATCTGGGCCAACAGGACTTAGCAGAGGATTCTGGGGGATTTGCTGTTTTAAAGCAGCTGAGTGCAAGATGTGAAAATAGGAATCAAGAGCAGAAAATGTAGCAAGCAGTGGTTCGGGGACTGGATGGTGGGCAAAATTTATTTACAAGAAGATTCAAGGCTCTACCTAATGCTTCTACAGGACAGCTCCATCAAAAGGACATTCTTTAACCCATTATTGAAAAC